ACTACAACTACTCCTACTCCTACTACAACAACTACAATTACTACTACTACTCCTACTCCTACTACAACAACAACAACTACTACAACTACTACTACTCCTAATACTACTCCTCCTACTAATCCTACTCCTACTACAACTACTACTACTCCTAATTCTACTCCTCCTACTAATCCTACTCCTACTACAACTACTACTACCACTCCTACCACTACTCCTACTACAAGTACTACTACCACTCCTACTACTACACCTACTACTACTCCTCCTACACCTACTACTACTGCTACTACAATTACTACAATGCATACGACAGCAACGACCTCTGCAACAACAACCCCTGCAACAACGACCGCTGCAACAACAACCCCTGCAACAAGAACCCCTGCGTCAATGTCGACGATAACACCCAGCCACAGTTCTGGTGAGTTAAACAAACTGTGTGTACATGCTGTATAGAAGGTAATTAAGGCATTAAAAGCCAGGTTGGTACCATACATGGTTACAAATACACACATTTGTACATATTGCGATGTCTGAATGTTGGAGTGGATGACTGCGTGAGTGTTTGAGTGAATGCAAGTGCTTCTAGACGTGTTGTTCCACAGGCCATACAGAGTTTTTTGTCAATGTTTTAGACCTGTTGGAACGTGTTCTTCCACGTACAGCACCCGTGAAGATCCGGGTTAGAATTGATCTTCAGTAACCCATGCTTTTCGGAAGAGGCGACTAACGGGATCGGGTGGTCAGGCTCGTTGACTTGGTTGACACATGTCATCGGTTACCATTTGCGCAGATCGCTGCTCGTGGTGAATTGATTGACTCGATTATTTGCAGACCGTCGCCATATAGCTGGAATATTGCTGAGTGCGGCGTAAACCTAAACTCACTCACTCACTCTTCCACGTACAGGAACACTTACCAATGTTTCTGGACATGTTGTTCCACAGTACCCACAACAGCACTTACCAATGTTTCTGTACGTGTTGTTCCACAGTACTTACATTACCACTTACCAATGTTTCTGTACGTGTTGTTCCACAGTACTTACATTAACACTTACCAATGTTTCTGTACGTGTTGTTCCACAGTACTTACATTACCACTTACCAATGTTTCTGTACGTGTTGTTCCACAGTACTTACATTAACACTTACCAATGTTTCTGTACGTGTTGTTCCACAGTACTTACATTACCACTTACCAATGTTTCTGTACGTGTTGTTCCACAGTACTTACATTAACACTTACCAATGTTTCTGTACGTGTTGTTCCACAGTACTTACATTAACACTTACCAATGTTTCTGTACGTGTTGTTCCACAGTACTTACATTAACACTTACCAATGTTTCTGTACGTGTTGTTCCACAGTACTTACATTAACACTTTCCAATGTTTCTGTACGTGTTGTTCCACAGTACTTACATTAACACTTACCAATGTTTCTGTACGTGTTGTTCCACAGTACTTACATTAACACTTAACACCAATGTTTCTGTACGTGTTGTTCCACAGTACTTACATTACCACTTACCAATGTTTCTGTACGTGTTGTTCCACAGTACTTACATTAACACTTACCAATTAACACTTACCAATGTTTCTGTACGTGTTGTTCCACAGTACTTACATTAACACTTACCAATGTTTCTGTACGTGTTGTTCCACAGTACTTACATTACCACTTACCAATGTTTCTGTACGTGTTGTTCCACAGTACTTACATTACCACTTACAAATGTTTCTGTACGTGTTGTTCCACAATACTTACATTACCACTTACCAATGTTTCTGTACGTGTTGTTCCACAGTACTTACATTAACACTTACCAATGTTTATGTACGTGTTGTTCCACAGTACTTTCATTAACACTTACCAATGTTTCTGGACATGTTGTTCCACAGTAGCTACATTACCACTTACCAATGTTTCTGTACGTGTTGTTCCACAGTACTTACATTAACACTTACCAATGTTTCTGTACGTGTTGTTCCACAGTACTTACATTAACACTTACCAATGTTTCTGTACGTGTTGTTCCACAGTACTTACATTAACACTTACCAATGTTTCTGTACGTGTTGTTCCACAGTACTTACATTAACACTTACCAATGTTTCTGTACGTGTTGTTCCACAGTACTTACATTAACACTTACCAATGTTTCTGTACGTGTTGTTCCACAGTACTTACATTACCACTTACCAATGTTTCTGTACGTGTTGTTCCACAATACTTACATTAACACTTACCAATGTTTCTGTACGTGTTGTTCCACAGTACTTACATTAACACTTACCAATGTTTATGTACGTGTTGTTCCACAGTACTTTCATTAACACTTACCAATGTTTCTGGACATGTTGTTCCACAGTAGCTACATTACCACTTACCAATGTTTCTGTACGTGTTGTTCCACAGTACTTACATTAACACTTACCAATGTTTCTGTACGTGTTGTTCCACAGTACTTACATTAACACTTACCAATGTTTCTGTACGTGTTGTTCCACAGTACTTACATTAACACTTACCAATGTTTCTGTACGTGTTGTTCCACAGTACTTACATTAACACTTACCAATGTTTCTGTACGTGTTGTTCCACAGTACCGACATTGGCAGTTTCCAGTGTATGTAGTCAGTGTAGTACATGAGTACTTGTTAATGTTTGAATCAAGATGGTGCTGGTGTGATTCAGCACCCTGTTTTTCGCTGTTTTTGACAATGTTGCATTTCACTCAAACTCAACGAATATTGAATCGGTTGCTTCACTTCATGTTCCAACATGTCGTTTAAAGTGCCCATTCAGAACACACAAAGTTGCATTGACCTTATAGTATAGATGACCACACCACGTTTAAGTTTGTATAAGGCTATCACATTTTGAGGTGTTCCTATATTTTTTGCTTGTAGTATATAATTAGTATGCAAAAAACACCATAGGTTCTATTTTCTAAACACGCTCCTGGGAGTGCTTCTATTTATACGTCTTATTGATGTTGACTGTCTCCTTCAGGTCAACAGTACAACGAAGTGGGTGCGATAGCATCTCCCGCCGCAGGAGTCGCCGTCCTCCTCCTCACCATTCCCATGCTGGTCTGCATGATCATGTCCAGGTGAGCTACAACTGGTCTTGTGGCTCAAGTCCATATATAATGTGGCGTCAAACGCACACAAGCCGATAGAGCATTTCTGCGGCTAATGCATGAAAATAAGATTTATGTAAACTGACGAACAAACAAATTACATCCCTAGTTCCTGGGGATTCTTTTTCAACAAATAATGTTAATATTTTGAAAAATATTTTGATTGTGACTTACAAGTGACAAACATTGAATATCTAAATGATCTGCCCGCATCTCACGTTCCTCGCTCAACCGAGACGACTCAGTCGATGTTGACTGGTGAACAACATGCCCCATGGTCGATAAGGCCCGGATGCATTCAACCGTCTCATAACCGTGTTCCTGATGCTGTAGAGCACCAACGCTGTCGGTGATGATGACGTCACCGTGAGCATCTAGTTGCGCAGATGATGGTCATAATGGAAGGTCTTCCAGTTGTTGGACGGTCAGATGGTTGACGCGTGTCACGTGCTCTGGCAACATGGTTGGTCGGAGACCACATCAACGACATTGCAATGGCTCGTTGTTTAGATTATTCTGTCGTTTTGAAGAGTGTCGCAGCAGCTGTACCACAACCATCTCAGTCGGCCCAAGTACTTTTGACGCATAAGATGCACTTGTGATTCAACTGAATCATGATTTACATGATAACCACTCATATTATTATGAATTATATCTGTGGGATTTACACGTACACAACATTTTTGACTTGTAAGTCACAATCAAAACACTTTTTAATAATCCCCAAACACCAGGTGTTTATGTCAGTTTAGTTAATCCGTTGAAAAAATGCAAGAGAATGGTTAAAGGTTTGTTTTGGCAACATGCAGACGGACACTTTACATCCTTGTATTGATACTGGAAATTGAACTTCGGACTTCTATTAGTGAGCTTGACTGGCAGGTAACCAGTCTTCCCTAACCGTAATCATACGTTACGGACGTCCCATATCGATTAAGTAGAGAAACCTAATATCGTGAGTTCGAATCTCGGTTCTGTTTCGAGTTTGGCTGCACCATACCGGGGGTCGTGGGTTTGTGATAATTGCAAAACGTGTAACATTCGGCGTTCGCCCCACTTCAAGCAGAAATATTGCTCAAAGCAGTGTTAGATCAAACTCAACCACTCGCTCAGTTCCGACACAATCCGATCACTTGTAGTTTACTGTTGATGTGTTGTATTTTCCAGAAAAAAAATCAAAGCAAGAGGGCACAGCCGGCATTGAACCATCTACAGGGGCCCGATTTCACAGAGGTCTTCACGGTATTGATAAAACTAATGCCAAGCAATATGAGTGAGTGAGTCAGTGAGTGAGTTAGTGAGTGTGTCAGTGAGAGATTGGGCCAATCAGTGAGTGAGTGTGCCAATGAGTTAGTGTGTGAGCCAGTGAGTGAGTGAGCCAGTGAGTGACTGAATCAGTAAGTTAGTGAGTGAGTGAGCCAGTGAGTTAGTGAGTCGGTGAGTGAGTGAGTGAGCCAGTGAGTGAGTCAGTGAGTCGGCCAGTGGGAAGGCTTTAAGTCAGCTTTAACTGACAGTTCTGATCGAGCACGGTTTAGCTCCAACAGAACAATTATTTCCATTGGCATGTCAAAGTGAATCAAAAGTATATTTCATAAGACCCATTCACATCTTAGCATTCGCCACCGACAAACAAAGACTGAAGTTATATCATTGCTGGTCACGTCTCGCTTATCAGATTAGACGAAAGACAATCGAAAATTGTTAATACAAGCGACAAACCCCTTTCCACATCCATAACAAATGGAATTCAGCTGAGTGATGGGACAATGGGATTCAGCTGAGTCAGGTGACAGTGGGGTTCATCTGAGTGAGTTGACAATGGGATTCAGTTGAGTGAGTTGACAATGGGATTCAGTTGAGTGAGTTGACAATGTGATTCAGCTGAGTGAGTTGACAATGTGATTCAGCTGAGTGAGTTGACAATGGAATTCAGCTGAGTGATGTGACAATGGGATTCAGCTGAGTGATGGGACAATGGAATTCAGCTGAGTGATGTGACAATGGGATTCAGCTGAGTGACGGGACAATGGAATTCAGCTGAGTGATATGACAATGGGATTCAGCTGAGTGAGTTGACAATGGAATTCAGCTGAGTGATGTGACAATGGGATACATCTGAGTGTTGAGACAATGGAATTCAGCTGAGTGAGTTGACAATGGGATTCAGCTGAGTGAGTTGACAATGGAATTCAGCTGAGTGATGTGACAATGGGATACAGCTGAGTGATGGGACAAAGGACTTCAACTGAGTGAGTTGACAATGGGATTCAGCTGAGTGATTGGACAGTGGAATTCAGCTGAGTGATGGGACAGTGGGATTCAGCTGAGTGACGGGAGAATGGAATTCAGTTGAGTGATGGGACAATGGGACACACGCGAGTGAGTTGACAATGGGATTCAGCTGAGTGAGTTGACAATGGAATTCAACTGAGTGATGGGACAGTGGGATTCAGTTGAGTGATGTGACAATCGGATTCAACCAGGTGATGTGACAATCGGATTCAACTGGGTGATGTGACAATCGGATTCAACTGGGTGATGTGACAGTGGTATTCAGTTGAGTTAGCAATTGATCTGTTTTATTGATTTGTGTGAATTGACATTTGCATGACAAGTCAGATATATATATCCGTGTTAATATCGGTGACTCTTTTTAAAGTGGTAATACAGGTGATTAATATTAGCCTCATCTGTACAGCTACAACAGTTAGTTCAGCTTCAGGCCACATCTTGTCTGAACTGGTTTACTCCCAAAAGAAAAGTAGTAAAAGGCAGATGAATCCTATCTGTTCCCAAACTCGATCATTTCATGAGGCAGTTATATTTACTGACTCGGAATTCAGACCTCAACCAAGCGTATTAGAAAGATCCTTCACCTCAAGCTGGCAAGAGGAAGACTGGAACAGCTGGCTGGCACATGTACTCCGTTTGTTCTTATGTGAAATCAAATCGACCAATTCGTCGACGTAATAAACGCGAAGACGTCATAATCACGAGACTTCGTCTTGTACACTGTGGTTTAACTCTGCGTCACTGATAAAGAGGTCTCTCCCTTATGTACACATTGTCACGGAAATACTCTCGAGACAGTGAAATGATATCAGATTAAATTTACGAAGTGCAGTACTTCAGAAGGAAAGCTCATTTTCTCTAAGTACACGTTTGGGCCCCAACATATTTTATGGTTCAATTCTGCGGGCAATATTAGACTTCGTGTGTGCATCGGGAAAATGATTGATATATTATAAAATTTTGATAAACACATACATCTGTATGAACTTTTAAACCAATTTAAAGACCACTCCTTATCTGATCTGTTTATTGAAAGAGTTGTTACTTTTCAGAAATGAAATAGTAATTACCTGCGGTTTTAAAATATAAACTATATCATGAAGCATATTAGTTACTCATCACATTTGGATTACTCTGTTTAAAGTCATTTGATGTGTTGGGCGTAAATAGACCCATAAAGGTCCAAGTCGCCCTGAAAGCCAAATACATTACCATATCATTTAATGACAAGTGACCGTGTTCCCCCCGAGCCTGCATACCTGTCTTTGTGTACCATCATGTCCGTGTGTACCATCATATCCTTGTGTACCATAATGTCTTTGTGTACCATGGTGTCCGTGTGTACCATGATGTCTGTGTGCATCATGATGTCCGAGTGTGTACCATCATATCAGTGTGTACAATCATGTCCGTGTGTACTATAATGTCCGTGTGTACTATGATGTCCGTGTTTACCATGATGTTAGTGTGTTCCATGGTGTTCGTGTGTACCATGGTGTCCGTGTGTACTATGATGTCTGTGTGTACTATGATGTCCGTGTGTACCATGGTGTCCGTGTGTACTATGGTGTCCGTGTTTACCATGATGTTAGTGTGTTCCATGGTGTTCGTGTGTACCATGGTGTTAGTGTGTTCCATGATGTCCGTGTGTATTATGATGTCTGTGTGCACCATGATGTCTGTGTGTACCATGATGCCTGTGTGTACTATGATGTCCGTGTGTACTATGATGTCCGTGTTTACCATGATGTTAGTGTGTTCCATGGTGTTCGTGTGTACCATGATGTTCGTGTGTACCATGATGTCCGTGTGTACCATGATGTCTGTGTGTACCATGATGCCTGTGTGTACCATGAAATCCGTGTGTTCCATGATGTCTGTGTGTACCATCGTATCCGTGTGTATCATTACGTCCATATCTACCAGTATGTCCTACATGAACATGTTGTTTCAATATTGTAGGTTTAGTATCCGTGTGTACCATGATGTCTGTGTGTACCATGATGTCCGTGTGTACCATGATGTCCGTGTATACCATGATGTCCGTGTGTACCATCGTATCCGTGTGTACCATGAAGTCCGTGTGTACCATGATGTCCGTGTATACCATCGTATCCGTGTGTACCATCATGTCCGTGTGTACCAAGATGTCCTGCATGATCATGTTGTTTCAATATTGTAGGTTTAGTGTCCGTGTGTACCATCATGTCTGTGTGTACCATGACGTCCGTGTGTACCATCATGCCTGTGTGTACCATGATGTCCTTGTGTACCATCGTATCCGTGTGTATCATTACGTCCATATCTACCAGTATGTCCTACATGATCATGTTGTTTCAATACTGTAGGTTTAATGTCCGTGTGTACGATGATGTCCGTTTGTACCGATGATGTCCGTTTGTACGATGATGTCCGTTTGTACGATGATTTGTACGATGATGTCCGTGTGTACCATGATGTCCGTGTACCATCATATCTGACACGTGAAGGACGAATCTACTCGACCTGGACTCGTGATGGACGTTTGTATATACATGTATGTGAACAACGTGAAGGCAGAATCAGAGTTGTTCATACCGAGTCGGATCTGGACAAATACAGTCGCTAAAATGTGTTGTGACTTGAGATATAATATGTGTCCTTATTAATAGTTTGGATTTATTTACACGATTCAGTGAGTATATATGCCTGATATTGTTATACGTATCTTATTACATACACTACGCTTTCATAGTATACAAGATACCGTTCATTATCTTTTTACATGTAAGTTATACACTGCTATTAGAAATAATACCTACTTCTATGTAAATGGCCACAATCTCCAAACTGTGTTATACGGAATACCTCCGGCAAATAACAACGTCAATAAGAACATAATAGAGTCCCTGCATCAATACATCTATAAGTCTAAACGATTTGACAAATTATACTCACAATTATATGCAATCAATTAATGAAGTGTAGCTGCAAGTTCAATGTTTATAAGCACCTACAACGCACATATATGATATCTGCTTGTTTGCCAAACCAGATTCTCTAGGAATAAAAATGTATACCATGATGTCCGTGTGTACCATCGTATCCGTGTGTACCATGAAGTCCGTGTGTACCATGATGTCCGTGTATACCATCGTATCCGTGTGTACCATCATGTCCGTGTGTACCAAGATGTCCTGCATGATCATGTTGTTTCAATATTGTAGGTTTAGTGTCCGTGTGTACCATCATGTCTGTGTGTACCATGACGTCCGTGTGTACCATCATGCCTGTGTGTACCATGATGTCCTTGTGTACCATCGTATCCGTGTGTATCATTACGTCCATATCTACCAGTATGTCCTACATGATCATGTTGTTTCAATACTGTAGGTTTAATGTCCGTGTGTACGATGATGTCCGTTTGTACGATGATGTCCGTTTGTACGATGATGTCCGTTTGTACGATGATTTGTACGATGATGTCCGTGTGTACCATGATGTCCGTGTACCATCATATCTGACACGTGAAGGACGAATCTACTCGACCTGGACTCGTGATGGACGTTTGTATATACATGTATGTGAACAACGTGAAGGCAGAATCAGAGTTGTTCATACCGAGTCGGATCTGGACAAATACAGTCGCTAAAATGTGTTGTGACTTGAGATATAATATGTGTCCTTATTAATAGTTTGGATTTATTTACACGATTCAGTGAGTATATATGCCTGATATTGTTATACGTATCTTATTACATACACTACGCTTTCATAGTATACAAGATACCGTTCATTATCTTTTTACATGTAAGTTATACACTGCTATTAGAAATAATACCTACTTCTATGTAAATGGCCACAATCTCCAAACTGTGTTATACGGAATACCTCCGGCAAATAACAACGTCAATAAGAACATAATAGAGTCCCTGCATCAATACATCTATAAGTCTAAACGATTTGACAAATTATACTCACAATTATATGCAATCAATTAATGAAGTGTAGCTGCAAGTTCAATGTTTATAAGCACCTACAACGCACATATATGATATCTGCTTGTTTGCCAAACCAGATTCTCTAGGAATAAAAATATGTTTAAACCATACAAGATACTTGCTAATTCATGTTTTTGGTTGTATCTAATCACTGTATATACACTCACCATTCTCCAAACTTTGTACATAAATGTTTTATCAATCTGTTGTACTGTAAACTTGTCCATGTTAAAAAGTATTCCAAAGCACAAGTTTAGAACACACATGGTATCCAAATTGTTCGATAAACGAATTTATACAACTATTTTGAGTAACATCAGCCAATCCTGATCACGTATCCGCATTGTCTTGCTTTTCCTATGTAAACTCAATCAGCCATATGGGTAATGACATAACACAGTACCGTGCGGCGATCGGGGTATACCAAGGTGTGCGTTGTCACTACAAACAGAAACACTTTCAAATCAGACCTGACCTAGTTTTTACGATTTGTCACAACTTGAGATATATATTTTCACAAGAAATTCACCTAGCTTTCAAATTGTTACTTATTGAATGGAAAACATGTTATGTCATTTTTGTTCTGTGCTTACTTCAATCAAGTTTCAGCAAGGTAAACGCTGCGTTGATTATCCTATTGTTACTCCAGCTTGCCGGAGATATCGAGTCAAATCCCGGGCCTTCCAATGTAAGCCCAGATCATTCACTCTCTATATGTCACTTAAATGTAAGACGTTTTCGTCACAAGCAAAGGTATTTGTCTGAAATGTTGTCAGATTATGATATTGTATGTTTGACTGAAACTCACCTTGATGAATCTATTTCTGATGAAAATCTAAAATGGAATGATTTTCATGACCCCATTAGAAAAGATAGAAATGCTTTTGGTGGTGGTGTTATGATTTATGTTAGAAACAATGTTAATTTTAAAAGACTTGTTGAACTAGAAAATATAAACGACGAATAAAAGCCATTAATTATCTGCGCAATCTACAGACCAGAATATAATAAAAAACAGTTTTGGAGTAGACTTGACAACGCTATTGACTGACTGATTGACTGAGTTTGGTTTTACGCCGCTTTTAGCAATATTCCAGCAATATCACGGCGGGGGACACCAGAAATGGGATTCACTCATTGTACCCATGTGGGGATTCGAACCCGGGTTTTCGGCGTGACGAGACAACGCTATTGAAACCGCTCTAGACATATCTAGTACAGTTATTGTTACTGGTGACATAAATGTAAATATATTTTAATTTTTTTTTTTTTTCATGTTTTTATTCCCAGAATTATGTTGACAGACTTTACCTCAGTAGTACAGTACAGGTAGCGTCTTAGTATGCAAGTACAGTGTTTCTTTGATCTCATTGTCAAATAACATGCTGTTCACATATGTGTAAAAAACGGTCAAAAACTAAGCATGTATATGAAGTGTTACATGTTTACAGATTTTACCTCGGTAGTACACAGTACAGTACAAATAGTTTCATTGTACACAAGTACAGTGTTTCCTTTGTCACTCACTGTAACATCATGCTGTTCACAAATATGCAAAATGGTCTAACTAAGCATGTACGTGAAGTATTACATGTTTACAGACTTTATCTCAGTAGTACAGTACAGTACAATACCGGTAACCTCATAGTACATAAATATGTAAAATGGTCAAACTAAGCATGTATATGAGTGTTACATGTTTACAGATTTTACCTCAGTAGTACAGTACAGTACAGTACAGGTAGCCTCCTAGTACACAAGTACAGTGTTTCCTTGATCATATTGTCCCATATCATGCTATTCTCAAAGATGTAAAATGGTCAAACTAAGCATATATATGAGTGTTACATGTTTACAGATTTTACCTCGGTAGTACAGTACAGTACAGTACAGGTAGCTTCATAGTACACAAGTACAGTGTTTCCTTGATCGCATATTGTCAAATATCATGCTATTCCCAAAGATGTAAAATGGTCAAACTAAGCATATATATGAGTGTTACATGTTTACAGATTCTACCTCGGTAGTACAGTACAGTACAGTACAGTACAGGTAGCTTCATAGTACACAAGTACAGTGTTTCCTTGATCGCATTGTCAAATATCATGCTATTCCCAAATATATAAAATGGTCAAACTAAGCATGTATATGAACATAAATGTAAATACGTTGTCTTCCAGTACACATGCTGTCCATAACATTCGGAATAGAAACAAATATGCGAAACATTATTAGTGAACCGACTAGAGTTGCAGAACATGTCAGTACTTTATTAGATCCAGTTATTGTCAGCGATGACGTTGAAGTCATAAACTGTGGAGTGATACACTACGGTAGAAACATCAGTGATCATAAAAGTACCTACAAAATCCACCCGGACAAAATCCACTTCTTCTTAACAAAAAAATTGACAAAATCCACCCTTCTTAAATTGCTATTGTTAAAAGTTTTAGTGTGTCCTGATCTTTGATCAAGTTGTTTTTCTCAAGCATTGCAAGCATTGTTTTGATAACATTTACGTTTTCCTAATTGGCTGTTGTTCCTAGATGTTGTTTCAAAAATTAAAGGTTTCTCCATTTGTCACATTTTGATCACTATTTAATCCTCTTTCATGTATCATTAAGTAGTCTCACACTTTGATCATTACGTAATCCCCTTAAAGAATTAAGATGTTTTTGCAAGCCTGATTGGAGCCTTTATACTCATGTTTTGATAGAACATACTTTTTAATGAGTTTGAGATCATCCTGTTTATTTTAAATGAGTTTGAGATCATCTACTTAAGATAAAGGCTTCTATAGTATATATATAGTTTGTGTTAAATGTCAAAGATCCTTCTGTTATTGTAACAGACTTTGAGTTGGCTGCCATCAATGCTGTATCTGTTCTGTTAGGTTCTCATGTAAATGTTCAAGGGTGTTTCTATCATCTCACCCAAAGTACGTGGCGTAAGATACAATCCTTAGGTCTAGTTTCCCATTATCGCAACAATGAAGACGCAAGAGAGTTCTGTGCTATGATCGATGGGCTTGCTTTCTTGCCTGTCACCGACGTCGAGGATGGAATGGCTTACCTAAAAGACACTGTCTCCGAGGACCTTGAGCCACTGGTTGACTACTTCGACAAGACGTACGTCACAGGCACCTACAGTCAGATTCGCCGTCCAGGACAGTCGTCACTGCGTTTCCGCCGCATCAAGCCGATGTATCCTCCACAAGTTTGGAACGTCCATGATATCACTCTTGAGGGTGGTTCTCGAACAAACAATGTGTGCGAAGGTTGGAACCGCGCGTTTAAGAAACTGATAGGACATTCCCACCCTACTGTGTGGAGACTCATCGACTGTCTGAGAAAAGACAACGGTCTTGCGTGTACAGCCATCTACAGGTCCGAAAGAGGTCAGCCCCCTAAGAAAAGAACCAGAACAACCACCAAACGTCTCCAAGAACGCCTTGAAGGTCTGTGCAAGACCTACGCAGCGAAGGAAAAGACACTGGAGGACTTTCTCCACGGCGTCAGCCGTTGTTTGCGTTATTGAAATGTGGCAAGATGTTTAGTCATAGATATGTCTGAATGTGTGAAAATATATGCTGTTGTCATTTTTATATATGTATTGATGCATGAATGATTCATAAATGCGAAATATATATGCGATTATATATGCGAAAATGTGCTTACATATTTATTTTGGTTGTTTTTGTTATCGATTATGAATGACTGTGACTAAACATGTCCTTAGTTGTTTTTTTCTTAGGGTGGAATTTATTAGGGGTGGATTTTGTCCTAGGTTGCAATTTTGGGGTGGATTTTGTCTGGGTGGATTTTGTCCTGGATTCTGCACCATCATACCTTCAGGAATTACTACCTACATATGTTGGCCAAAAATCATCTTATAACCTTCGCAACCCTTTAAACTTCTCCCTTCCATTTACGAGATTGAAACTTTCCTTATCATCTTTTTCTCCATCTACTATACGAATGTGGAACAAAGTTCCCATAGAAATAAGCAATATAGATTCTTTAGCAGGGTTTAAATTGAAAATTGAAAATAAAATAAATGCAGCCCCACCTTTCTTTTGGTCTGGTACAAAGAAACTGAACATTATTCACACAAAACTAAGGTACAATACAAGTCCGCTTAATTACGATTTATTCAGACTGAATTTAAGATCAGATGCTTCTTGTACTTGTGGTTGTTCTTGTGAAACTTTATGGCATTATCTTTTAGAATGTTCTTTGTACACAACGCAGCGTACAGATTTGTTTGCAAATGTAAATACTGTCGTTAAACATCGCATACCCATTAATCTAGATTTATTGTTATTGGTCATGTTACACAATAACTATATGAAAATGAATATAATTTGAACATGTACATAGATATATTAAGCTCACTGAAAGATTGTTGTAGGTTTATTCTTGTATATACTATACACATCCTCTTTAAATACCTTGTAAATTCCTTCCACAAATCCCTGTTGTCAATGTTTTATATATTGTAAATATGACATATGTAACTTCTGGGAAAGGGCGTTCCTAAGTTGGATAATTTATGCCCAATCCATTTCATATTCGAATAAAATCTGTTTAAAGTAAAGTACCATCGTATCCGTGTGTACCATGATGTCTGTGTGTACCATCGTATCAGTGTGTACCATGATGTCCGTGTGTACCATGATGTCCGTATGTACCATCATGTCTGTGTGTACAGTGATGTCCGTGTGTATCATCATGTCCGTGTTTACCATCGTATCCATGTGTACCATGATGTCCGTGTGTACCATCGTATCCGTGTTTACCATGATGTCCGTGTGTACCATGATGTCTGTGTGTACCATGATGTCTCTGTGTACGATGATGTCCGTGTGTACCATTATGTCCGTGTGTACCATGATGTCCGTGTGTACCATCGTATCCGTGTGTATCATTACGTCAATATCTACCAGTATGTCCTACATGACCTTGTTTTTTAAATATTGTAGGCTTAGTGTCCGTGTTTAACATGTTGTCCGTGTGTACCATGATGTCCGTGTACCATGATGTCCGTGTGTACCATGATGTCCGTATGTACCATCATGTCTGTGTGTACCATGATGTCCATGTGTACCATGATGTCTGTGTGTACCATGATGTCCGTATGTACCATCATGTCTATGTGTACCATGATGTCCGTGTTTACGATCGTATCCGTGTGTACCATGATGTCTGTGTGTACGATCGTGTCCGTGTGTACCATGATGTCTGTGTGTACCATGATATCTGTGTGTACCATGATGTCTGTGTGTACCATGATGTCTGTGTGTACCATGATGTCTGTGATTACCATCATGTCTTTGTGTACCATGATGACTGTGTGTACCATCATGTCTGTGTTTACCATCATGTCTTTGTGTACCATGATGTCCGATTACCATCATGTCTTTGTGTACCATGATGTCCGTGTGTACCATCGTATCCGTGTGTACCATCACATCTGTGTGTACCATGGTGTTCGTGTTTACCATGATGTCTGTGTGTACCATCATGTCTGTGTGTACCATTATGTCTTTGTGCACCATGATGTCCGTGTGTACCATCATGTCTGTGTTTACCATCATGTCCGTGTGTACCATCGTATCCGTGTGTACCATGACGTCCGTGTGTACCATGATGTCTGTGTGTACCATGATGTCTGTGTGTACCATGATGTCTGTGTGTACCATGATGTCCGTGTGTACCATTATGTCCGTGTGTACCATTATGTCCGTGTGTACCATCGTATCCGTGTGTACCATGAAGTCCGTGTGTACCATCGTATCGGTGTGTACCATCGTATCCGTGTGTACCATCGTATTCGTGTGTACCATCGTATCCGTGTGTATCATTACGTCCATATCTACCAGTTTGTCCTACATGACCATGTTGTTTCAATATTGTAGGTTTAGTGTGTCAACGTAAACAATGTAAAGCTGTAGCACTCAAACAAGTAAATGAGGCTACTAAATTATCGATTATCATGGGGTCGGGCCATCCGACCCTCAATATTCTGCCCTACACAATCATATGATACTGGAGGCCTGCACAAAGCGATTTCAGCACTTTGATTTTCTCAACCCTCATACTTGATCCTGGTCTTACACCTGTTGTAGCGTTAAGATCGTTTTCTGTAAAGAATCACGGGTTCACATTCACAAACCGGCCTTAGAGCTAAATGATCTAAAGATGATGTTTTCATATCGAATCAGCCCTCAGGACTGTTCGTCACGGAAGTGAGTTTAGTTTTACGCCGCACTCAGTAATATTCCCACTATATGGCGGCGGTCTGTTAATAATCGTGTCTGGACCAGACAAGCCAATGATCAACAGCATGAGCATCGATCTACGCAATTGGGATACGATGACATGTGTCAACCAAGACGGCGAGCCTGACCACCCGATCCCGTTAGTCGCCTTTTTACGACAAGCATGGGTTACTGAAGATCAGTTTTCTAACCCGGATCTTCACAGGTGAATCGTCATGGAGCCTTCTGACTGTTATTTAAGACACACGATTAAGTAGACTCAAATGAGGTTATCGAGATGTGCGCGACTTCCATGGAGTGAGAGTCGCGAGTTAGATTTGTAAGTAACATTGGCTTGACCTAACAATAAAGTAAACGCATCGTATTAACTAAGTAAACTGACGGACAAAAGAAACTACACTCTTGGTGCTTTGCCAACACATACTCAATGGGTTTTTTTTCACGTGAAAGACACAATCAAAACACTTTACAAGTATTTACGTCATGTTCTGGCAAAAAAATCTCCAGACACTAGTTGTGTACTATCTTTTATACGTCAGTATATTTCTGTATTCAATAGTAGAGACTTGTGAACGATAGTCCTGTTTTCAACTTGCAATGTTTACAATGGTTATGTCCCAATCAGATGATCGATTTACAGTTTGGATATGCTTCGTGACTGTATCAAAAATCAAGATAGTTTATTGTACATAAGGCCCCCGGCCCGTATACATAGTGTTATAATGACAGGCGAAGTATGGACAGTGCTTACAGTGGAAAGCATCATAACATTGTGAAATTAGTTGACAGGAGAAATCAGACTGTTCAATAATGACAGCGATTGCGTTAAAAACAGGGCTAACTTTACATGAACTGTTTCGTCTTCTGATAAAGTTCTTATAAGTGTTTCCCTTGTAGGGTGACCCAAATACTTCAGTGGAATATATATACTCCTTTCTTAAATCGACAAAAACATCACATATAAATAACAGATGATATTTATCTTCGATATCCACCATACAAACAGGGCAATATCTTAATTATTTGACCAGTGACTCTCTACGGCCAGTAGTGATAATTATATCTGCACATCTGCATTAATGCATTCGTTACGTGGCAGATAATGTGCAAGAAGACAAGGATTAGAAGATGTTTGGGCATTTTTCGTGTCCAGCCGTCGAAGAAATTGAATTATATCCCATGGACATGACTTCACAGAAACCAAGGATTGCGGATAGATCCCAGATAGCTCATCTTCGACCTCGGTGAGTTTAGGGATTTCATCCTCTTTAAACTCGTCATCTGGATGAAAGTTCAAAACGGCATAAAACCATATTTGTTGCACTTAGTAATATTATGACGGTAGTCTGTAAATAACAGAGTCACTACCAGGCACTTGACACCAAGATCCATTGATATCAGATAACATGCATTAACCATGGCAACGAACTTGACCACCCGATCCCGTTAGTTGCCTTCTACGACGCGCACCGGTTGCTGAAGACCAATTCTAACCCATGTCATCATAGATACATAAGACCTATGAACAGCAAGGCAAAGGAAAGCATATATACTCATATTTCATGGTGACTAAAATGGAGTGAATGGGGATGATTTTACGTCGCTTTCAGCAATATTCCAGCAATATCACGGCGGGGGACACCAGAAATGGGTTCACACGTTGTACCCAAGTGGGGAATCGAAGCCGGGTCTTCGGCGTTACGAGCGAACGCTATAACCACTAGGCTACCCCACCGCCCCGACTAAATTGAAACGAACAGGAAACGGTTATTAGATGGTAACCAGTACCATAGCTACATCTGGGCTCTAAGTTGCAGTGTCTCTTTTCAACACTACAATTTAGCGGCTGGTTTTTGTTCTGGCTGGACATTTTTCTATGACGTCATTAGTCGTCTCCAATTTAATTTGAAAGTTTGCACTTTCGATTGCCCGTCAGTGAGTAACTGTGTACATTAGACGTCAGCACCACATTTAATACGACGCATATGACTTTCAGCCAGCGATCCGCATTCTTGGTATATCATTACAACAGATACGACGCATGATACGTGCAGTCGTTGACAACACCCTACACGCCTTATCTAAACATCACATCTTACACACACTGTCACGACAATATTCAATTACAATATGGACCCAAACTGGAGCAGAGGACCACTTACAGCTATAAACAAATCCTCAGAAAAATATGACACAGCATCAAGAAAACACTTAGCCCATGTATTATACACATTCACAACCCGCTTTCAAATATCTCTTACCTACATTATGAAAACACCATGAGCTTATTAAGTTAATCCCAATAATGTTTGTTCACACTTCTTCCAGAATTCCATCTACTTAAGGATGTTCGTGACGAACAAAGCGAATAGGTTTGAGAGAGGCCTTTATTCCGGGTACCTGGCGTGAGATGCGTTCCTATAATTGCAATAGTTTTGGCTGAGATACACCCCCTTTTTCACAGACGGGATTTCAATACAGAAGCGTGGCGAGGTCGTGGCCCCTGTTTGGAGAGGAATTTCTTTTGAGTGGCGGATTAGTTCCAAATTCTACTTCAAACGTTCACGCAAAATATTAGTAAACATGTGGAGGGGACATTTGGTAGCAGCATTGCCTTTAAGGTTTGGTTGGTTTGTTGTTTAACGCCACAGAGCAATATTCCAACTACATGGCGGCGGTCTGGCGGCAGACAATCCAGTGATCAACAGTATGAGCATCGATCTACGCAGTTGGGATACGATGACATATGTCAACCAAGTCAGCGAGTCTGACCACCTAATCCCGTTAGTCGCCTCTTACAATTCTAATATGGTTCTTCACGCGTCTGCCTTTAAGAGATGATACGAGCATGGTTTTGAAGATATTTAAGCGTCAATGGAGGATAAATGTCAGTTCGCTAATTATTTAAATGAACCAACTTGAAACAGCTGAATTTTCTTGTTTTATGAATGATTATGATAATGATCGTGCTACTTTCCATGACACTGAGGGGGCAGGATGGTCCTGTGGGTGTAATACGTCCTGTAGACATGCATATGTCTGGGGTTTGAATCTCTGATTCGCTTCAATGCTCCTGTTTCAGTTGTCCCTAAAACGTCAACAACATGCATTGGCAGCCTGGTCTCATAATGAACTTGATATGGGTTTGAAAGTACATATCTCGGTGTTTGGGATTATTTTCGCTTCTTGTAAGTGTCAAAAAAAATCAAAATATTCTCGTTGGTTTGGAATTTGACCCCAAAGAACCAGGTGTGTACTTTCTAAAACGTACAAGTGACAAATACATTTCCATAACAATACAAGCGTTCGCTGTCACGCTGAAGATTCCCCATTGTAAAGCCCATTTCTGGTGTCCCCCGCCGTGATATTGTTGGAGTATTGCTAAAAGTTGCGTAAAACCATACTCACTCACTCACAAATAATCATAAGTGTGCTCTGCTGAAACAGAGTCCCATCTGTCATTCCTTCTGTACTACAAGCATGTGTTCGTGAAACACTGTCACTCAGCAATATTCCAGCTATATGGGGCAGTCTGTAAATAATTGAATGTGGACCAGACAATCCAGTGATCAGCATCATGAGCATCGATTTACACAACTGGCATACGATGATGTGCATCAACCAAATTAGTGGCATCTCACGAGCGTGATCGATGTGGGACATATTGTAAACAGAAAAGTAGAATGTAGAATGTGATGTCCATTATGTCAATTGTAATAAAATAATATTTATTGTAATGTTTCAACATTCCGTTATCTTCTCTCAGAGCCCACCCAGTGATTTTATGTCTCGATGTGAAGTTTTCTTAAGACTACTATGAATTATATTGGTGCTATGTATTATTCACACTTGGCTAAGTATCAAATCATGGCTTCAACAACAAACTATTATGTGAGGTCAAATGTGGTTTAAATATCTAAGCCTACTGTAAGCATGGATCCTAGGTTTCAGCATGTTACTGCATCTTGTGGATCCCATACCTGCTATTGACAGGTGTTGTCTATTTGTCAATTACTCGTTCCATGATTTGCAAAATGGTTGATTGGTGCCATGAAAACCATTTGTATGGTTACTCATGTATCAAATGCATGCGGTTAGATTAACGTGACTGTTTGCCTAAAGAAGGGTTACCATATAACTATTTTTCCAGTTTTAAATGGATACAGTTTCAAATTATAAATCTACGTTTAATTAAAGTTGTGAAATTTTGTGATCCTTAGCAAAGTGTGAGTAGTATATATATCAAACCGTTCCTACATGTACCCATGTAATGAGTGAGTGACTTATCATATAATCACAACGATGTTTCTAGGTTTGTAAACACCTGACCTGTGGGTTTCACCAAACTGTTAAACTTCCAAGACCGGCGTCTCTTCGATACTAACATCTAACATCTAGCCAATATGCCTTGATAAACCAAAACACAGTCCAAAGCAGAGCTACACAAAATCCTTCACTCTCTCTGGGGGTTATTCTACTACATCATCTGTTTGTGAGTGAGTTGTATAAAATAATTCAACAATATAAACAACAAGTTAAGAAAACAATTATTTCCACATTAAATCGAGAAAATCTTGGCTCTACTGAGGTGAAACTCACTCAAATCCCATATACGATTAAAACGCGAGTGGGATAATTTGGAAACAATGTGTAGGATTTGTAAATGGATTTAGAAAATGATTATTCCATTCACAATGTATTATGGATTTCGTGCACTCTAGTGGTGGTCCAATTGATTGAAATAATCGAAGATTGGTCGTAATGACTAAACGACCAAGCAATCGATCCCATTTTTTGTCATAATCGAACACAAACGATTTGGAACACTTGTTTGCATTGACAATATTTATCACAAGGTTGGTTTTGTTTGTTGCGTTTCATAAGCACTACAAGCTCGTTCCTTGTCATGATAAACAATTTATCTTGAAGACTCCAGGAAATTTATGTTCCTAACATATTAGTCATCCTTTAAAGACATGAAATTTGCCAATAAACAACAGAAAGAACTACATGTTTTTTTCTTTATTTTGTGAACATTGACAAACATAACCAGGACAATTTGATAAATAACGCTAACCAACTATTTCGATGATTTGATCGGTTGTAATGAACCAATCATCAATTATAAGATTTTAACCAATTCCCAACACTAGTGCAACAGCTCATTATAAATAAAGAATCTCCACGGAATAAAAACCCAAACAAACGGTTTTAATCGGTGTCTTGGCTGCAAAATGTAATGCCAACGAGTTCCAGTGGTACGTAGGTTAATGATGCCATGTTACCATGGTAACCGATGACATCACAGTGGTTTATAAAGCATCTCGGTGTAATTTCATTAAAGCGTAGGCTGATGGTAGATATCTCTTGATCTCACCCTGTCATATCCTCATGGAATACAGTTCGGGATGATACATCTGCCTATCCTACATTCAACGAACAATGGTGTTGACAGCGGCGGTGAAGACATTTGCTCACGCTCGTAATTCAGATAACTATTAATCAACAAAACATTCCACTTCGCCATTTCAGCCACACACAAATTCCTTCGAGCCACCTCTTCCCGTTTACAATGCAGTATCGTCACACCTACATTCGAGTATGACCTGCATGTTAGCATTTAAAGAAGGTATGGAAATTGTCTTATTATCGTGACAGTAAACACCCCATGGCTTTGTCGTGGTCAGAAAAGCTGAAAATAAACGAGCTGCACGGAGACCAGACAGAGACGGATTCGAGTCTTTAAGAGATTATCATTTAAATGCAACCTTATGTTCCGCCCTGACATTCTGAAACTCCCCATCAAGAGACGATATGCATGAGTTTGTTTCCTGAATACAGGTAGCTTGTAGTTGGAATTAGCTGTTCACCTTCGTCATGACATGCTGCTGTAATACGCTGTCAGCTTTTTACTTAAAACAGTCAAATTTAGCACATGTAGCGTGCATGAGGTTGTCTCGAATGCATTCACCAAGCAATACACATACAGCTCGTTCTCATTTGAGTCTGTTTCGTTCGATAAGAATCATTTCATTGTTGTGCGGAGGTTCATAAATATTTGCATAATCTGTAATTCTAATCAAGGCCAATCAAGAATAATAACCCGTCCCTATCCTTTGTCCATCTGGTTTCAGAGCCATTATCTATTATCACAACAATTATCAATATTGTCATCACACTGTACATCAACCTCCTTAACTGCATTAACTCAAATATACTTCATGTATATATTCTCTTTGTCCTTAATGTTGTGCATAATTTGCTTGATAACGGCGCATATTTTGTCTATCGATAAAAAGTGTTCCTCTCCACAGACTGTACTACTTTCAACTTGAAATCAGAACGGTAGTGACTTCAAGTTAATCATTTTGCAATGAAAACATCGAACAGGACCTAGATTCAATCTTCTTTGATATAACATATATATATATATATACTCATAGGCGGATACAGATTTGGGGTGCAGGGGTGCGCATCCCTCCCTTTTTTGTCCTGAAAGTTTATTAAACGACCATTTAAACTCTCGTGAAAACGGGTGAAAATGAACTGTGCACCCGCTCCCCTTTCCCCTTTCTCAAAAAGCTGTATCCACCCCTGATACAGTAATTGTACAAACAGCGTTAAACCAAACACACTCACCCTGGATGTAGGGGCGGTAGGGTAGCCTAGTGGTTACAGCGTTCGCTCATCACGCTCAATACAAGCGGGTTGGACGTTGCTTGAATCAAAATATCTCCCCATAAACATCTATAGTAACGTTGTAGTTTTTTTTTGTTTTTTTTTGTTTTTTTTTCACAATCAAACCAAGTGACTTCTGGTCAATATACTGGGTTTTTTTTGTTTTTTTGTTTGTTTTTTTTTCGAGTCAAAGTCTTTTTATTGTCTATAGGTCACAGGCCGTATACAACATATATACAATTTTCACTTACATTTACACATGTATACAATAACAAAGGTTGAGTTTACAACAAATATATATGATGTCATAGTACATGGGAAATCTACAAAAATATATCTTACTGAATTGGGGGTATTTTGATGCATGGTATAAATATGTGCATAATTTTCTAGAAGTGTTTCAGTCTATTTACATTCAGTGTTTTCATATCATCATATAAGGATGAACAAAAGATCACATTATCACAAGTGTTTCATATCAACATATCAGGATGAGAGAAAGACCACATTATTACATTATTACCGCGGCTTGAGGAAGTAGAGGTAGTCCAGCTGCTCTCCTGATCCACTTGGTGACTTCGGGGTTTTCCTTGTAGGCAACAGCTAGTCCAAGATCCTGAACCTTCCTCCAGATGGCTTGACAGAAATGGAAGAAACAGCCCTTCACGTCAGCAGTGGGAAATTCTGTTTCTATGGCGTGGATTGCTGCTAGCTCAAAATCGGTCTGGATGCAGGCAGGATCAAGCGGTCTGTTGAGTCTCTGCTGAACATCATCCTTGAGCAATCGGAAGAGTCTGGAGTAGGTTGTTGTCTGGCGGTCGGAAGAAGGGCGAAGATGAGGGGATATGTTGAGCTGCCACGTCTTGCATGGATGATGTATACTTGATTCCACAGTGCAGGACAGGCTGTGAAAGTTCCATCCATGTAGAGGTTGTCAGCTGACTGCAAGGCTTCAAGACTCTCTTGTGTTCCGAAGGCCAAGATCTTGTCGTCATGGCCGTCCGCAAACAGGAGGAATGGTCTACCATCTGCTGTCTGCGTCCAGGGATCTTGGAGGTCGACTTCTGATCTCGTCTGTGGTAAGACAGGAATCGTCTTCTGGCGGTGGCGGTACAGGGCACTGCTAACAGATGGAAAGGAGGGCATGGTACGTGTCTCGTCATCAGTCAGGTTGGTAAGCTCGTTGTTGTAGATGGTGCGCATCGGTATTGACTCCTCCCTGGCTCTCTTCCTCAGGTTGCTGACAAACCGGACCTTCTGGCTATCCTCTGGTGGGTGATTGTGTTCAGTCGTATTTCTTACCACATCGCCAACAGTTGTGACTCTTCCTTTGCATGTTGACTGCACACACTTCCAGTGTACACAGGTCTGTCGCTCAACATTCTTAGTGTGAAGATATCCATCCAACAGAACTTGACGGCTACCTCTCCGTGACATAACAAACTCAACATTGCGAAGACCAGCCATGTTGATGCCATGTTTGTTTCATGTCAGCACTTATATACTGTATGGAACAATCTCAATTTCCTGTATCATCTCCACGTTTTATTTCTCTCAACTTCTCAACATTGTAATATATGTAACATTAAAGTGCACTATAACAACTTTTCTTAACAACATTTAGCAATCACAACACTTTTCCAATTGTATGTTTCTTCTACTCAGGGTTGAGGTTTGTTTTCATCATGAGACCACTAATTTCCTTGCCACAAAAGACTAATCACATTTATGCATCCCTTGATCTCATCTATGCTCCATGCACTAATCCCTCTTTAGGATTAGTCTATTATATCAGACAGGTAAATGCTAGGTGTTGTTTTAACTAGCTGTAGGGGTACTGGAGTGTAGGGGTAGTGGCATGTAGGGGTTATGGGTGTGAACCATAATAACACGTCCCTATCCTTTGTCCATCTGGTATCAGAGCCATTATCTATTATCACAACAATTATCAGTAGTGTCATCACACTGTACATCAACCTCTTTAATATACTTCATGTATATATTCTCTTTGTCCTTAATACTGTGAATAATTTGCTTGATAACGGCGCATATTTGGAATAAAGAAGTTGTCTATCCATAAAAAGTGTTCCTCTCCACAGACTGTACTACTTTCAACTTGAAATCAGAACGGTAGTGACTTCAAGTTAATCATTTTGCAATGAAAACATCGAACAGGACCTAGATTCAATCTTCTTTGATGTAACATATATATATATATACTCATAGGCGGATACAGATTTGGGGTGCAGGGGTGCGCATCCCTCCCTTTTTTGTCCTGAAAGTTTATTAAACGACCATTTAAACTCTCGTGAAAACGGGTGAAAATGAACTGTGCACCCGCTCCCCTTTCCCCCTTTCTCAAAAAGCTGTATCCACCCCTGATACAGTAATTGTACAAACAGCGTTAAACCAAACACACTCACCCTGGATGTAGGGGCGGTAGGGTAGCCTAGTGGTTACAGCGTTCGCTCATCACGCTCAATACAAGCGGGTTGGACGTTGCTTAAATCAAAATATCTCCCCATAGACATCTATAGTAACGTTGTAGTTTGGTAAAAAGAGAACAAGGGCTTAAACAGCTGTCACGTGTACTTATATGCACAGTCAGGTCTTAACGTAGTCTGTCTCACAGTCCCTGAACCACATTATTTTCCCCACTGTCAAGCCCTCTCTTCAGTGCTAAAGCCCTAAATAAAGCAAGTCTAGATTTCCTCAGGTTCTGAATCTCTGGTCTCCCTGGGGCTCCTTTTCAATTTAAATGGGCTTGTTTGTTACCATCAAAATTATATATATTCAGAGACTAAGCATTAGTCTAGTCTTAACGCTGCAATAATAATACATATTTTGGACCCGCGAAGATCCGGGTTAGAATTGGTCTTCAGCAACCAATGCTTGTAATGGGCGACTAACGGGATCGGGTGGTCAGGCTCGCTGACTAGGTTGACACATGTCATTGGTTCCCAATTGCGTTGATCGATGCTCATGCTGTTGATCACTAGATTGTCTGGTCCAGACTCGATTATTTACAGACCGAAGCCATACATCTGTAATATTACTGAGCGTGACGTAAAACAGCCAACAAAACCAATGTTGTCAGCTTAACCAGTTCTTTTTAAGCATACAGTTAACTGAGAACAGGAACCCCAGCTCCTCGCCAAAGTCACCTACTGAGACAACGGGCTGCAGTTCGATTTGCAAAGTTGCGTCCTTGTATCGTTACAGGATCCGTTGATAGTGTGTCTGATTCCATTATCGTCCTGAGTCTGATCTAGTATTTGTCAGGACTATATCCGTACTCGTTTGTTGAAATAGAAGACTGTCCAAACTCAGACAAAAGTCACACTTTGAAATTCTGTTCGAAATGCCTAATATATCGCTTACTCCAGAGTCATATAAGTTCATTCGGATTAGGATAATTTGCAGTAGCTATATCCATAGCTGGCAAATTTACTTTTGCTTTAAACTCAGTAAAAGCTGAACACTATCATGCCAAGCATGTCCCCGCAACGTTATCTGTGAGCACAGATTCACGATTTTACACACAGAAGCGTCTTTTATTCGTAAACCGTTTCGCAATCTCAGTCTTACCGCGCAGCCGCCGTAACAGAACCCCAGAAAGAAAACCACCGTGAAATTAAGTAGTCCTTCATCAAGTATACACACACTGTACAGGGGGACGGGCACCTGCTGACACACGCCCACTACCCTCTACCCCTGGAGAAGAGGTTGACGGGTCATTAAGGGACACGGATGGTCAGAACCGTAGGGTCATTCCGTCTAACTGGGCTGTTATTGCCGCACTGTGAATGTACATTTGACATACTCTGCTGAGATAGCGGCAACGCGGAACTCACAAGTAAGTCAGAGCGAGGATTACTGAGTGTTTCTCGGGAGGAGGAAGGGCTATCTCGCATCTGTGTACAGCACATGAGACTATTGAGGTGAGTCGTGGCTGGAAGGAGGTGGTGCTGACTATGTGTGTGTGGAATGTATCAAGCGATAAGACAATGTGCGTGTTTTATTCCATGGTTGTTATACATACCGGTGTGTTATTCATGTTTGGTCTGTTTTAGAAATGTCTGGAGACAAAGAAACCATGACTTCTATTTTCCGACAGTAAAATCGCTGTATATTGTGATTTTCTCCCTTGTATTGTCATTATGAATGAACTCAAAGAATCTACACACATGTGACTGTACATCCCTTGACTCTGCTGATGTTTAACATCCATCCTTTGAACAGGTCCATTACATTTTACACGTGTGATATGGCATATGTAATATTAGATGTGTGTTATCACATATGTAACATTTGATCTGAGATGAGCGATATCACAAATGTAATTTAGATATTTAATGTGTGATATCACACATGTAATTTCGATATTTAATGTGTGATATCACACATATAATTTAGATATTTAATGTGTGATATCACACATGTAATTTAGATATTTGATGTGTGACATCACATATGTAATATCAGATATTTGATGTGAGATATCATGGATCACATATGTAATTTAGATAATTGATGTGTGATGTCACCAATGTAAAATCAGATATTTGATTTGAGATATTATATGTTATATAAAACATGTGATATGTGACTTGTGGATAATTTAGTACGTTCGGTAGAAAGGTGTAAAACACAGAGCGAAACAAAATCCTTTTCTCTGTCGGCTATCAGAGGCCATACCTGGTAATATACATGCACAAGCACACAGCATACACACACATAACGACGTACGACGTACATAAGTCACATAGAGATTCCATCGACGTTACTCACACATGCTCAATTAGACATATCCATGTAATTGCATATATACTGCTGATACAAACACGACAGTGATCTAATCAGACATGTACAGATGCACGCGCATGAACGCACACACAAGCACGACCGCAAGCTCGCATTAAACAAACCACGATGAAAGCTTACAAACAAACACACTACAAAATAGACATAAAAACAAATAAACAAACTACGATAGAGACATAAAACAAATACACACACTACGATATAGACATACAAACAAACAAACAAACAAACATACTACGACATAGAAATTCAAACAAACTCACTACGACATAGGCATATAAACATGGAGCACACACAAACATTAAAACATATAACCATACACACACACTACGACATTATGTTTGCATAATACAACATAAACATGCATACATACACACACTTCAGCATAAACATGCACGCATACACACACACGGCAACATAAACATGCACACATACACACACACTACAGCATAAGCATAACCATGCACACACACTACAGCATATACATGCACACATACACACACTACAGTAAAAACATGCACATACACACGACAGCATAAACGTGCACACACACAATATAAACATGGTTACACATGCTACAACATAAACATGCACACACATTATGGCAAACATGCACACACACTTCAGCATAAACATGCACACACACTACAACATAAACATGTTTACACACACTGACACTACAGTATAAACATGCACACACACTACGACATAATCATGCACACACATTATGACACACATACACACACACTACGACATAAACATGTACACATACACTAGAACATAAACATGCACATGCACACTACGACATAATCATGCACACACATTATGACAAACATGCACACACAGTACAACATAAACATGCACACATATTATGACAAACATGCACACACACTACAGCATAAACATGCACATACACTACAACGTAAACATGTATACATACACTACAACATAAACATGTTTAATCACATTATGACAAACATGCACACACACACTACAGCGTAAACATACACACACACTACAGCATAAACATGTTTACACACAGTACAACATAAACATGTTTACATACATTATGACAAACATGCACACACACTACAGCATAAACATGCACACACACACACTACGACATAAACATTCACACACACACACTACACTACAACACACTAGAACACATGTTTACACATTATGACACTAGAACATAAAGCATGTTGCACACATACTCTGCATGATAAACATTCACACACACTACGACATAATCATGCGCATAAACATGCACATACATTACTCTACAACAAAAACATGTTACGACATAAACATGTTTACACACTACGACATAATCATGCACCCATGAATTATGCACACACACTACAGCAAAAACATGCACACACATTACAGCATGAACCTGCACCACACACACACACTACGACATAAACATGTTTACAGACACACTGCAACATAAACATGTTTACACACATAACGCACGTACACAACTTCACACATACACTGTAACTATGCAGACATACACTAATACATCTTTTCATAACATGATAGTCATTTCTAAACTACACACAGTACGTCCGAGCACAAAAGCATATACATAGACGCAAGCGTATTTAAAACCTACCATACAAACATATTGAACAAATATGCATTTCAGATACAGGTCATGAAGCACGGGCCTCCTTTATGACTAACATACTGTCTAGGGTTTGATTTTTTCACGGACACATTTTCCACCGAACACTTATTCATTAACGTGCAGCGCTGTCAACTGGAATAGCTAGAAATGTCATAAGTTAACTCCGAATAAATAGAACAATCAATAGTAAGATGGTTTCATCTGCAACAGCTGAAGGACGAGAAAGGTCTATTTCCAACAGGGATAAGCTTCTTAGCATCATGCTTGTCGACAACCTCAGTTTACATGTATGTAATCGGATGGAGGCTTGGTAGTGATGTCTAGACATTATTCTGGTCCCATATTTACATTGTATATTAACAGTATAGGTGATATTTCTTAACATTCGTGCTTCGTACAGGGCAGTTACATTACTCGAAATGCGATTTAGCACGGTGATTCCTAAACAAAGCATCGGCGTTTTGTCCATGAGCTGGGGAGCAGGGATCTACACTCCACACTGCAGCCGTGTCGGGGGCAGCTGAGTCGTGTTTACATAACACTCTCCTACGCCCATATCAGTTTCTCCAAGCAGTTATCTTAAACCTATTTTACATTTCAGAATTGAACGAGTCTCAACGTTGCGGGATATGTATTCAAATAAAAAAAGTATAAATGGAAATACTGCTTTCGGTTCGACCTGTATTTTTAATCACTGTATGTTTATAATTGATAGAGGTGACTAAGTCTGATACTTTAGTTTGTAATTGTTTGAAATAATTCTAAAGTCTTTGTACGTTAGTTTGTAATTGTTTCAGTAAATGTGATGACGTCATCACCACTGCTAATTACTAATCACATTATCAAGAGAAGCAATCGCCATGATAATATCTACGCTCGACAGAGGTAAAAGATTTGAATAAACCGAATTTGACTTGAAATTATACAGCTGATCTGAACGCTACAAAACATTAGAAAACAAATCTGTAGCTGGGTAATATTCTTAAAAATAATGAAATTAATGAAAATGAAATAAATATGCAACCACATATGTATCAGGAATGTTGTAAATTTGTGTCGAATAAAACAAATCTTGATTTTCAAATATACGATGTCAAACATACCCACAAGTTGAGAATTACATTATTTAGTTTCAAATTTGGAAAAAACCCTTTCAAATCCAATTTAATTCATTTCCTTGATATACTATTGCTAATATCCGGTTTCAGAAATTTAAACTCAAACAGCTGGTATAGTATCATTTCGTTCCCCAGCTCCTAGTAGGGGGTTAGATGGGGGCTAAAGGTGTTGGGATTCATTATGACGAAACAAGACATTTACAGCTGTGAGTGTTGAGCTTCTGTTTGTGTCTCTACAGTATGTATAGAATATCCAGTACTGATGCTGAACAATAGATACCTGAGAGTGATGTGTATACTGTCTACTACCGGGGAGTCTGTGCCAGGCTGTATAGATGTAACAGTAAGATATTAAGCTTTTAATAACCAAGTGAAATCTCCCTTGAACGATGGCGACTACATCATGAGCAGTTGCTAGTGAATCGCTATCAAATAGTGATGACACCAGGTGTTCGGGAAAATATGAGCGTATCCTGCCTCAATGGTGGCACTCAAAACAAAGAATAACACCGACTGCCACAAACACATGGCTGGCAACTGTACACAGACCATCACAAATATATGGACCTTCTTAGACAGAACATGTGTTGTTAAAATGACAATTTCACATAGTGTCTACTGCAGTATTTATGGTTAAATTTCAATTTTCGAAAACATGTTTCTCCAGTTGTGAGATTACTTGTAAAACGGGTCAGTGTTTGGGGAAAAAAATTGTTTTGGATGCCTGGCATATGATAGAAGTAATGAACCCGAGTGTACGAATATTTACATTTTCAGACATAAACAGAACCCTCCCTATTATAAATAACACAACTTGTCAGGGTCGACTTCTAGATGATAACAGTTTGACTTTGCAAATCTTTCAGATGGATGAATATTTTAACACATTATACTGATCTATATCGTCCAGGGGAAGAAATCCACTGTTATCCCAAGAATCCGTAAGTCTACATTAGGATAAGAAAATATGTGTATATATAAGCTCAGTCAGTTGCTTGAAAATTTCATTGACATTTGTCAATCTGTTGTTGGTGGTAACAGGTTCTGCGCAGTCAAATTATTTATCAAAATGCATGGAAAGTGTATCCATAGGTGTCCGTATACACAATGGAGGGGGGTGGGGTAGCCTAGTAGTTAAAGCGTTCGCTCGTCACGCCGAAGACCCGGGTCCGATTCCCCACATGGGTACAATGTGTGAAGTCCATTGTGGTGTCCCCCGCCGTGATATTGCTGGAATATTGTTAATAGGGGCGTAAAACTGAACTCACCCACTTACGCAATGGGATTTCCATGTATCAGCGAAGTTGGCTGCATTAAATATGCATGATTAAACATTTTTAAATTATTATAAATATGAAACGTC